CCTAAGCCCTAAACCCTAAACCGAGACGGCTTAGGGTTTACGGTTTAGGGAAACACAAAAATCAACAACCGCAGGACCTCAGAGCGGCCTTATGCCCCCTATACTTCCGAACCCCAGACCCGCTTGGGGGGTTTCCGAAAATAGGGGACCCTAATATAGTACCCTAAGTAGTAGTAGGACCCTTATTAGAAGGACCCCAAAATAAGGTACCTCTTCCTTTTGGAAACCCCCACTTAATGACAGATGTGTAGCATTGTGTGACTTTCAACTGCACTGATCAGTGTAGGGCCAGGCATGCTGTACGACTTTCGGGTCCTTTGTGGGTTTGCCTTCTTGGAGGTCATGCTTTCTTCTACAGGGGTCGACCTTCAATAACGTGTTTGCTTACATCCTCAGTCTTTATCCCTTCGCATCAAAAGAGCCCAAAAGCCCTACATAATAGGGTCTTTGGGCCCAAAAGCCTTAAAGTATGAGTCCTCTGAGGGTAAGGGTATGCATGGGGCTTCTAAACCCTAAACCCTAAACCTTAAACCCTAAACGCTAAACCCTTTTCTGCGGGAGCTCTAAGCTTTGAAGGGCAGACGAAAGGCCGAGCGGCGAGATGCAGAGCTGCTTCAAGCTTTGGGGTTGAACGGGAGGGTTTAGGGTTTAGGATTTAGGGTTTAGGGTTTAGGGATTCAAGCTTTGGGGTTGAACGTGAGGGTTTAGGGGTTTTTAGTGTGCTAGGTTCCCCAGTAGTACCCTTTTGCCCGTTTTGCTTTTTGGGCTCCCTTAATAAAACCATGCAGTAGGAAAAAGGGTACCCTTGTTATTTAGGGGCTAATGGGGCACCTAGTATGGGTCTAGGACTTAGGGTTTCGGGTAGGTAACCTTTAACCTTCTAGGGCTTGTCTAATCCTACTCTAATGTAAAGATTAACCTTTTTTGGGCTAGGGTACTCAGCCCCTAAAGAGTATGGGTTTAGGATTTAGGGTTTTGGTGGTTGTGAGTAACCGGGCTCTTTTCAGCTTCAAGTATGTAGTACTGTGAATAGTGCTCGCTGTCCTGGACAGCAAAAGTTGAGTGGCAAAAGAACGTGCTGCTCTTATAGCAAAGACCTAAAAGGGACCGCAATTTAGAGAACCCTACAACCCCAAACAAACCGTATGCCATGCACATCCATGTACTCTGCACGACGAATCATGATAGTTCTCATATATCTTAGATCAATAAAACACACATCATGTCGTACACAGTACATAGTATATGCATAGCGTATCTCGTACATCGTATACAGTATATAGATCTATATTGTATATAGTACATACTGCTTAGTGCATAGTGATAGCATGTAGTATCTATTACACCTTGTAGAGTAGATAACATACATTTTATAGTGCCTAGTGTAAGGCATGGCGTATATAGTAAATAGCATAGAGTGTATGGTATATACAGTATATAGTACATACAGAATACAGTATGTAGTATGTAGTATGTAGTACATAGTATATAGTATATAGTATATAGCATATAGTACATAGTGCATAGTACAGAATTGTACAGTACAAAGTATGTAGCAAACAACAGATAGTATATATGTTTAGCATAAGGTTTATTGTGCTCAGCATGATTGATATGGCTGATAGTAGAGACTAGAGCAGTATATAGTATATCGTTGATAACGTGCATCTATAAATATGTGTACATGTGTATATACATATACGTCCGCTTTCGTACCTGGTACGCAGCACATATCTCGTCGTACAGAAAAAGTACAAAACCTGTTCCTGTGTATGTACATATATATACACATATAGAGGCATACATCATAAATCATATGTCATATATCAAGCATCTCAGATTATCAGCACAATTATCGTCATCAGCACTAATATTACCATGTCTGGTTTGACTGCTATTGTTGCTGGTATCACCGTAGCAAGAAAACGCAAAAACAGTGAACATAATGAACAGCAATCATCGTTTGTTAGTAAGTTTAGTACAGGCAACAAAGACACAACTGCGAAAGCTACAAAAATAGAAGCACAGAGTGCACATGTTCTGCCATGTATCAGACAGAATCTCCGGGAAGAGCTAGGGTTTAGGGTTTAGGGTTTAGGGTTTAGGGTTTAGGAAGAGCTAGCCCCGACCAGAGAGGACGCGAGATATCGAAAGGTCTGCTCTCACAGGAAAGTAACCGACAGAGGCTCCAGATTTCCGAGCGTCTGTTTTGTTTATGTATGCATATATGTATGGAAGGATGGATGCATGGTATAGGTGTGCGTGTGTGTGTGTGTGTGCATATATATATATATACATATGTATATATATATATATATTTATATTATGCATGATTTTTTGTAAACCCGAAACCCTAAACCCTAAACCCTAAACCCTAAACCCTAAACCCTAAACCCTAAACCCGACCTATGGACTCACAGTTTGCAAGGAGGAGAAGCTCCAGCTGCATAATGCTGGCAGATGTCATCCCTGCGTCGCCTTTGCGCTGCGTCGCCCTGCCTGAAAAGGTTTAGGTTTTAGGGGTTTAGG